TATATAATATAATATAATATATAATATAATATAATATATAATATAATATATAATATAATATATAATATAATATATAATATAATATATATTTAAATTAAATTAAAAGTGAAACAAAATTAATTTAAAAAATAAATTGATATATTTTAATAATCATAATTGAAATCAGTATCGGAAAAAATAAAGAAAAAGTATTCTTTGGTTTTTAATCTCGCTGAAGACGATCATCGAATATCATTAGCATAACTTCTCTGTAATAATAAACAACTATAAAAGAGAGACACACAAAGAAAGCAAAAATATGAATTAAAATAATGTCTATACATTAAGAAAAGGATTGAAATCTATCAGAAAGAACTATAGTCAGTTAATTCAACTATTTATGATATGAGACCAAGTGATACTCTACGTTAGAACAAAAATCATGCGCTTCAAATTTGGAAATTTTAACCTAATTATAATGAAATTCAAGAAACATTATAGAAGACCACTGATAACGAGCGTATAGTCGAATTCAAAATAGTAGTATAGAAAGTCAAAAATTCAATTACTAAAAAATAATAATTTTATTGTTGTAATTCACTACTGTCAAAACCTTTCTAATATTTTTATATAATAATAATTTGAAAGAATCGATCAAGAAATAAAAATACAAAAGAAAATTACATGACAAATATTGTGTATATCAATATACATATAAAGAAATTATTGATAAAACAAAATAATATTATTAAATAAATAATAAAATATTATATAAAAATGCAATAATAAAAATATATATTTTATCACATATAGAAAAATTAATAAAATAAAAAATTAAAATTATACGAAAAAGTAACAATTTAATAAAAAACATTATATTATGTATTAATATAACTAATAACTAATGTTTTATTTTAAAATGTAATTAAATTAATTTTAATAAATCTACGTTAATATATAAAATATCGGAGAAGTTATGATAAAAAAATAATGTGGCTAATAATTGAAAATAATTTTGAAATAATTAAAAATAAAGATTGCTAGTAACAGATTTAAAATGTCTTACTTATAATAATTAAGTAAAAATATATTTCTGCAATCGACAATCGTATTTTTAATTAAAAACAAAAAACAACGATAATGATCGTTGCTTTGAACCAAAAAAAATAAATACGAGAAAAATATATATAATTAATTTTTGTCTAAATAAATATTTAGTTGCAATCATTTATTAATAGACAACAAAAAATTCAATGAATTTTGCTGTAATCTTTGTTTCTTTCTTTTTTTAATAAATTATTTAAATGTTTTTGAAATGAACAAATAAAAAAAAAATAAAATTACTTTTCACTTAATTAATAAAAATGTTTTAAAGCAATTTTATGTATATATAAACAAATAGGTGAAAACTCAAATTCAAATTAAATAGATTTTATTAAAAATAATATTGCAATGAAAATTTTTAAATTAAAATTTAATGATATTTATAATAAAATTATTTGAAATTATTTTTTAGTATATAACCGTAAGGATACATCATTTTGTGTATAAAATCAAAAATACTTGTTCGGAGAGAAACCGGGTCCAAGAAATTATTTCTTGTAAATAAAATAAATAAATATTGAAATTTAAAACTAAAGAAAAAGCTATAAATTAATAAAACAAGATCAAAATTTTAGAACAAAAAATATTTATTTTGTTTTATAAAAGGAAGAGAAACTAGTATTTGACATATAAACCATTGTCGTTTTATTAGTACCTACCATAATTAATAATAATAAAATATGTTGTATATATAAAGCATAATAAACGTAAGTCAAAAGTCTTATGATTCGTATAGTACATAAATTAAAAAATATATATGCAAATTGTAACGGTAATAATATTAAAATATTTAATTTTTTTTAATCTCAAAAATTGGTCAAAATTGTAAAGTGACATTGAAGTTTAAAAGCAGAGATGATAATTTCGGAAGTAAGCAGGGTAGCCAATTTTATTTATATATACTGAAACTCATAGTATTGACTTATTAATATGTAAACTTACAATTATTTTTTTTTTTTAATGAATATCTATTATGCAAATAGTCATTGTGTTGCCCATTTTCACTTTTGTATAGACATTTCATATACATAAACGGTATGATGCTCAACAGAATTTTAAAATATCTTTCTGAAATCTAGACAAGCTGGGGAAGTGGTTTCAAAGATCACAAAGAATATTTTACTCAAAATATATATTACCCAAAATATTTTTCTTTTAATGGCAAAAAATTTAAAGAATGTCAATAAATAATCAAGAAACTGTAATCTATTGATAAGAGTATAAGTATTTCTCCACTGATTTCAAACAAATACCATATAAAAGTAGAAACTGGGCTACGATATACAATAGATTTGAACATATAGTATACATTTTTTGTACAAATGGAATTTGATCCAAAGCATATTGCAAATATTTTCTTTATATATATATTATAAACATAACTCAAATTAAATATATATTACTAATTTAATATTGCTATTATGTATAGTATATTACTTTATTATTGGCTGCAAATAAACAAAATCTCATACATTTACTCACTCAAGTCTGAATTGATAAATTAGGCTAATAAATATACAAAATTAATAAGTTATCAATATCTAAAATAAATAAAATTGTAAATAAAAAAATAAATATTTTCAATTAAATACAAAAACTCTAAACTTTATAATGTGCATAATAGCTACGTCAAGATTTATTAATATATATATAGTTTTTATGTATATTAATAAAAAAATAAAATTTTAAAATACATATTAAAATACGCTATATAAAGATATAATAAAATTAATTCCATTAAATATATAAAAATATGTTAACTTAAAAATAAGTTATTCATTAAAAAACAACAATTATTAAAATAAATAGTTTAATAAATTGCAATTTAAAAATATATTTATATATATTTATTGCACTGCAAGCACTGAGGGAATTTGATTCAATTTTAATTAGCATATACTATATAAAAATTAGATCTGTAAGCAACTAATATTATGACACTTGTAAGAATTAATAGTTTATTGAAACTTAAATCATTTAATTTAATAAATTAAAACTATTTAAAAAAATAATCAGATAAAAAAATAATTTGAAATGAAGCTCTTCATACTAGGCTCCGTATGAAAGCAAAAGCAATTTTAAATATTTAAAAAAAAGAAAAATTTAAGATAGTACACATATATAGATATATATATATTAATATATATAGAAATATATATATAAATAATTTTGATTATTTGATTGATAGCATTGTATAAGTCATATTGTTTAAGCAAAAGAAAGACTTTTTAAATTGTCAAAGTTATTTAATAAATTAAAAATTATATTTGTTAAAAATTAATTTATTTACTTTCAAAATTTGTAAATAATATTAAATATCTTTAAATTTATCAATAAAACTTACATTTTTTCTTTTGAAAAATTATCTAAAAATATTGTATTTTCTTTTACACACTTAATAATGAGGCAGGCTTGACTTTTTTATGATTTACAAGACAACGAGACATCAGAATGAAAAAAGGACTTTAGATTTGGCTTTTTTGACCTCAAATTAATCTAGCCTGATTTTTTCAACTTAAATAAATAAATGTGGCATTAGAGGCTTAATAAACCTCACGAGGTGTTTTTGGGAATACTAGTTTGAAGTGTTTTATTTGGGAATAGCCATTGAACCAAAGACTTAGGATCCATAATGCTTTATATATATTTTATATATATTTGACATATATTTGATATATATATTATATATTATTATATATATATATATATATTATCATCAGTAGCGAGGCGTCAGCTTTTTGGCAAGGTGTTCACAAATTGATCAAAACAGAATTCCAACTATAACGTATTCCCCCTACTTCTGAGTTTTGTCCTTTCCACAAGCAAATAGCATACAAGACCAATAAAACAATTTATTTAAATGTTCACGGCCTGTGATCCACTAGTTTTTATGGTAAGTAGCTGTAGGAAAACGGCGACTTACCACATATTTCGACATTTTTACATCAGGTACCAAATTCTTCATATCTGGAGTTAGTCTATTCATTTTATGAATTAAAACCTTTTTTTCAGAAGATCGTTTAAAAAAAGATATTTGAATCAAATCTTTAATCACACATTTGTCCATTTCTTAATATTATTTTTTACTTCAAATTTCTTTAATTTTTTTTTTTACTTTTACCATTTGCTAGTATAAAATTGCAATAATGACTTTTTTTTTTGGTTTATTTCTAACTTCTACATAAGAGTAAGAAACTCTCATGCATTAATTTACTCTTTTACTTTGTATTTACTATGCGCGGTTCAGTTTTTTTACTGAACCATATAAAACAGCAACCGTGACTTTAATTGTATTTGCACGCTTTGTATGAACTTCAGGTTCAGTTTAGTCGACAAAACCTCTAGTCAAATGTAAAGCGATTTTCGCTCAATTAATTAAGCGATTTCGCTTGCACGCATTGATTCAAGAGTTATGATTATTTAACGTACATATTTTGCGGGGCTTGTTTTCTCTTTTATTTTTATATTTGTTTGTATGTTTTGTGTTGTTTATTCAATATTGAACATAGTCCCAATGTGAATATTATTTCATTTGCATGCTTTGAAGCAGCGCGGTGCAGTTTTTATTCTGAAGGTTAGTATATTTTAAAAGGAATGTGTTGTCTCTTTTATTAATTATAAGTAATGTTGGGTGTAACTAATATATGTGAAATTTTGTTTGTATTGTACGTTTTGTGTTTTTGTTAATCTGTTTGGAAAAGTTATTATAAAAAATATTAAGTGGCAACATAGCGAGATTATTTATTTTAAAAGAAAATATCTAAAAAGGAAGCTTTGTTAAGGTGTTCAGTGAATACTCTGAACCATTCGACGCC